TATTTCGAGTGGTGAGGAGAAGAACTGACCATTCAAAAAGATATTTTTTACATTTGATCATATTTTCAGTCAGACGACACAGCTGCCAGCAAACTGCGATATCAGCGATATAATACGATCTTGGTTAAATACAAGCCGCCAAAAGTGTAGCTTCTCTTCATCCTTGTATTTTATCCTTGAGTTTTTCAAGCTGAGATTTCTGCAGTTTTAAACAGCTTAGGAACAGTCAATTTCCAATAGACGTAAAGTAATGGCAAGTAGACGTTTCTACAACAACACACCGGCAACCACAGGCGCAAAATCGCGCACACTAGTTCTCGAGACAAGAATATTTGCTTAAGATTCAGTTCTTGGTGGTTAAGTCTCCACCTTATGATAATCTTTGAGATCCACGTTGCCAGCAATTTTAAAGTCTTTATTCATGAACCTCACAAATTTAGTACTTGTCCGAAAGAGGTCGCTACAGAAACTAGCACACGGCAGCCCTCCATTGCACAAGTAAAATTCCCGGCCTGTCTTTTCCTTGGTTTTATTTGGTGAACATCGGGCTGTCCGGTTCACATTTCAAAGTTTCCTCGGTTTCGGCGCATCTCAAGACAAAGATTCTGATGCGGTTGTCAGAAGGGGATATCTGGGTTAGACAAGGGCCCGTTTCTGCTAAGCTATTCTTGGTACGCAGAACGTAGGAGAAGGACGGATGGAAAGCTCCCGGTCAAAGACTAGATGCAGTCTGCCTTCTACAGAAACAAATTTTCCGACGACTTCTAGATGATTAGGAGTTCGGTGCTCACAACTACGCATAAAACTTGTTTAACCGTGTCCTCAGCCAACTGCCCGGACCTAGTTCTTACGAAAGACTTCCCTAACATTGACGAAGTGCATTCCAGTACACCTCTCGGAAAGAGTGACAATACTACGCCACTATGGCATTACTTGCTTTTTGCTCAAAGCCAGAAGAGAACAGAAGTCCAACCTACTATATGGAAGGCATATTTTAACACGATGAAGGACGAATCGAGTTCCGGGAATTGGGACTGTTTGCTCATGGGGAATCTGGATGACGACCGGAGGTCTTTTAAGATTATTTCACTCGGTCTACTTCGGCACTGTTGTCCCCCAAAGCTATAAAAAACGACTAGTCGGCCTGCCCGGTTAACTAGGGGCATGGATTGACAGTTACGAAAGAAAAGTAAAAGATGGAAGATATTCAGGGAAACTGGGCCACCAGTGCACATTGAGGAGTTTCGTCGTCAACGAAGAACAGTCAAAAAATATGTCCGTCAGGCACCAAAGGAGTATAAATTTAGAATTATCCGCCAGGCTAAACAAAAGCGTGAGATTTTATTTCACTATGTTAAGAATCAGCCGAAATACAAGGACCCAATTGCAGTACTTAAGGATGATAATGATGTAGATATCGTTGAAAACAGCGAGAAAGTCGAACACTTGAGAAGGTACTTTGTCTCGGTTTTCACTAGGGAAACGGGGGTTCGGAGTCTCAGTATCAAGAATGCTGTTGTAACCGCCGGTCCCGTGCTTGACTTCATACTCTTCCCGACATCTGTCGTGGAAAGAGAGCTACAAAATCTCAAAGAAGCAAAGTCGTCGGGTCCGGACAATATACCGGCCAAATTCTTTAAATAATTGGCAAGCGGATTCTCCAAACCACTGACACACATCCTCCGTTCGTCATCCGAGTTAGGGAGGCTGCCATCCGAATGGAAGACAGCAAATATCTTTCCGATATATAAGGGTGCAGCTCACGTCAGTGCTAACAATTACTGGCCCATTAGCCTCGCCAGCATCTGCTGTCAAATCCTGGAAACCAAACTTAAGAAAAAACGATGAAGTTCCTGAAGCGGAACCAATTACACTCAGACCTGCAGCACGGCTTCAGACAGAACCG